CCCCCGCCCCTCCCCCCCCCCAGCCCTGTCTTTGTCCCTAGTCCTGCCTTTTGGTTTCACCCGACCAAACTCTTCAAGATCCAGGACCAAGTTGGAGTTTTCCAGGAAGACTTTCTCAGCCACCGAGCTACAGCTCTGCCCAGCGCCTCTCTCTCTGGCCTCTGGACTCCCACAGTGACAATTACCGTAGCACCTACCATTCATTGTATCCTTATTACGTCAAAGTTCTGTGCCAAGCGCTTTACGTGTATCATCTTAGTTCATTTTCATGGCAACTCTCCAAAGTAGGTTCTATTCTTAGGCTCTTTTTCACTGACTAGGAAACGGAGGCTTACAGAGGTTAAGTAACACACCCAAGGTCACACAGGTAGGGGAGCCAGTGGGGACTCAGACGCAGGTCTGACCGCACAGCCCTTGCTTGGAGCCACAGCAGGGCTTGCCAGGAGCCCTTGCTTTCCACCACAGGCACACAGCCTGTGCTATGTTCTCCTGTAACCTAACGGTTTCATGTGCGATTGTCTTGTGCCCCAGTTAGTTCAAACAGGCCAGCCCCCGTGCTGGGAACACACAGTGCACACACAGTGCGTCCCTTAAACCAGCCAGGCATAGAAACATCCATTCTTCGTAAATGTAAAGGCCCTCAGAGGAAGAGCTCTAACAAGCCTAATTACCCTGACTACAACCAAACAGCCCTCATTGTCAGAACATTCTTTATGTCAAATCTCAAGCCCTCTGCCCCACCATAAACCAATTTCCTTTCCTTTCTGATCTGGAGCCCTAGAAAAGCAGTTGCAAGTGGTGGTTCAAAGCAAGGGCGGCGGGACCTCAATCCTGGAGCTGGGCCACGCGCGAGCTCTGTGACTCAGTGAGCCTGCTTCCTCATCTGTAAAGTGGGCACATAAATGCTTACCCCACTGGGTCGTTTTGAAAATTAAATCCAAGCCCCCGGATACAAAACCCTTCACAGTATGTTTGGCATAGAGTAAAGACCAACTAAATGGTGGCTATTTTTATTTAATGCTGTTTATTCTCTCCCAGGGTATCAAATACGAAGTCCCTCTGTGACCTGCACACGACTCTCTCCTCCCTTGGCTCACCCTCTCTGTACGACTACACACTTTTTCGGGAACACTTTTTCCCTGTGTTCTCTTTAGGTCTTCCATTTTATTTTTGCTCGGGACCTCTCAAACCGGGGAGTAGGCGGCCAAACATCGGGAGGAGTCTCCCCTTTGCTCTTTGGTCTTAGCGTGCCTCGATCTGGTAGGAAGAGAAATGCCGGGCCCTCTCCCCACCTGTGACTTGGAAAACAGGTGCCGACAGAGTCCCGTCGAAGGCTGAAAGGGAAACGGAACGGATGCCCTCTATCCAGAGAGAGGACGGCTGTGATAAGGGGCTTGTCTTTGCAACAGTGGACAGATTTTTTTTCTTTCAATTTCTTTCTGTGGCTGGCGCTTGGCTTGGGGTGTGGTGTGGCTCTCAGTTGCTGGGCCCTGGCACACAGGGCTGGCCACCTGCGCTGTGAGTTGGAGGAGGCGCTGGGGCTGGGGCAGGAGTGCTTGCTCTCCTTTGCCTCTCCAGGCCTCCAAGCTCGTCACTTCGCTGCCCAAGCAGAAGTTCAGGTTAGTCTTACAGCATCACACAATTACTCGGTTACATAAATCCAAGGGTGTGGTGGGAAAGTGGACCGGAGAGGCAACGGACCGGGGTAGAGAGCGGGAAGGGAAGAGAAGGCCGGGACAGCCATCCTTTCCAGGGCCGAAAACGGCGAAGGGGAAGCTTAGATGGAATCCGGCTGAATCGATGACTTTCAGGAAAAGAAAAAGAAGCTTGAAGAGTGAGAGCTGCGAGAGAAGGTACATCTCACTCATAGACTCCAAGCCCGCGACTCTTGAAGGTCCTGAACGTACCTGTCTTCTTCTCCGGGCTAGTTCTTCCAGAAGGCCTTTCCTGCTCCCCACCTGGACATTCATTCATTCATTCATTCATCTAGAGTCAGACGCTGTGCCAGGTGCTAGAGTTACAGCAGTGGGATAGGGCGGATGAAGCGGTTCCTTGTCCTGGGACGGAGCCTACAGCTGTAAGGGGAGTGGGTGTTAATAGAGGACGTGCAAAAGCAAATATTTAAATTGCAGTTGTTGTAGCTGGTACCGTGGAGAATTAGAGGGGATGTGAGCCTAGACCAGGAGGCCTGGGAAGGCAGCAACATCGAAAGCTGACTTATAAGATGAATCAGGATTGATGAGCAGGGACGATGGTCCAGGCAGAGGGAACAGCTTGTGTGTGGAGCTTGAGTCTGGTGGGCTTCCCAGAAACTTCACTAAGTACCAGGAGTGGTGAGGGCGGAGAGCAGCTCGAAGTAATGCAGGAGAGTTTGGCAGAGGCGGGGTAACGCAGGCCAAGGTAGGACGTGGGCTTTGTTTTCCTAAGAGCAGTGGGCAGTCACCGTATTATGTAAGGCAGTGACATGATCAGACGTGTATTTTAAAAAGAGCATTCTGGAAGTGGATTGCAGCTGTCCAGATGAGCGATAATGGTCGCTGGCCCCACGGTAGCGGCAGCAGGAATGTAAAGACATGTCAAACTTCGGCTGTGGTTTGGAAGTAGAATTTGGAAATACGGTTTGATATTTCATTGCACTTGGGGGCGAGGGAGAGGAGGAGCCAAGGACAGCTTCCTGGTTTTGCCTTGGGCACTTGGGTGGCACCGTGAGCTGAGATTGGGAGGCTGGGGGAGAAGCCCTCGGATTACTTTTTTGGCAGTTCTGCATCCTCTGGCTTTTGTTGTAATGATTTCACAGTATTTGTGTTCGAACGAGAAGGATAGGAGCACTGGGGCCACGGACGAGTGGCACCGCTCAGATTAGAAGTCTAGCATTCTGAAGCCAGGCCTAGCCTCCTTCCGTGACCCCGCATGGGGTTTCCATTTCATTACTGGGGACAGAGCGTACTGGATCTGGCCCATCTTTGTATCCACCTTGAGCTCTTGCGCCTTGTACCCCGAGGATGCTCTAAACTGAGGTCTTCTGTAGCCCCGTGTACCTGGCACTGTGCCGTAGGGAAGAGAACGTGGGGCACGGGTCCCTGCCGTCAAGAATCTTATTAGTGGCACAGTCCATGGAAAATAGGGCCTGCCAGGTAGCAGGCTGGGCCACCTCATCAAAACGGAAGACCTCAGGCCATTGGCACATGCTGGTAATTCTTCCCCCTTTGGGAAAACCCAAAAGGTACAGAGTATAGTGCAGATCACAGCAGACACACGTGTGGGTCTCTGAGAGCATCCGGTCCCCTCACACCCCAACAATTCCATCACCAGGTCGCACAGCCAGAGACCTTAGAGAGGAAGGGCCTGGCCTCTGCTCTATGGAACCACACCCACAGCTCCAACGGAGACCTTAGTATGTCTGCATGCAGCAAGACGAGGGGGCCAGGCAGGGTTGCGTGCCTTGTATTTACTATATTTTTCGTGGCGAAATACGCCTTCCTTTATGCAACGCTCTGAGGAAAATTTATTACTAAAAAAAAATCAGTTGGATTTTTAGCCCAGATTTGTTCTCCGTACACGAACACGTTATGGCGTGGGTTGAGAAGTCCCGCCTTCTCATCAGGAAGCTGAGTATGAGCAAGTTGGGCCTGGACAGGGTCCATTTCAGCCCAGAGCCATCAGCTTTTCCTGTCACAGTTGCTGCTGGGGCCCTTTAGCATCTCCGTTTTCTGTGGCTCCCATCTGGCTGATGGCATCATCTGGGCCTCTGACAGAATCACCTAGGAAGGGCCAGCGTCAGAGGGTCAGGTCCCAGTGGAGGCCAAAATTGGGGATCACACCTCTTCCTTATCTCATGGAAAAAGGGGACACCCTCTCTCCCAAATCGGGATCTCAGAACCACAATCACTATCACGACTTTCTTTAAAAAAAGATTTATTTTTATTTTTCTGAACAAATGGAAAGATACCACGGTATTGATGGGAAAACAATATAATATGTTGAGTGTGTTATGAATTCA